CATGCCTCTCTCAGCTAGCAGCGTGTACGTCACCTTCTCCCTCTCCTCCCCTCCTTCGTCCCCTCCTCTTTCTCCTCCATCCTCCTCCTTCTCACCTGCATCACAAACTCCCTCCGGCGCGGCATTCCTCTCTCCGCTAGCAGCGTGTACGTCACCTTCTCCCTCTCCTCCCTCCCCACCCTCCCCTCCTCTTCCTCCTCCATCCTCCTTCTCACCTGCATCACAAACTCCCTCCTGCGCGGCATGCCTCTCTCCGCTAGCAGCGTGTACGTCACCTTCTCCCTCTCCTCCCCTCCCCCACCCCTCCCCCACCCCTCCCCTCCTTCCTCCCCTCCTCTTTCTCCTCCATCCTCCTCCTTCTCACCTGCATCACAAACTCCCTCCTGCGCGGCATGCCTCTCTCAGCTAGCAGCNACGTTGTAGGGCGGGTAGAGGGCGCTACCTACCTCTGGTTGTATATGCCGCGGAAGTCTAGGTTCGGTACGTTGTAGGGCGGGTGCCGCGGAGGGTCGATCTGCCTGTAGAGGGCGAGTTCTCCTCGCCGCATCGCGAGAGCGTTCAACTCCTCAGTCGGAGTGACATTCATGTATTGTCGCGGGAAGCGGCGGCTCCTGCCGAGAGAGAGAGAGATGGGGTGAGCGAGCGACGAGCGGCGGCGCCACCTTGAGGCAAGTTCACGCACTCGCCGGTCGTGCGATCGATATTATTATCGTATCATTATGTTATTGATGTTATTTGGTTATGAATTAGTTTATGTTTATTCTTATTGTATTGTCTTATTGTATGATTCCATCATCGTATTGCACTGCATTGTATTGTACTGTAGTTTGTTGTATTGTAATATTGTATGCTCCTATTATTGTAATGTATTGTATCAATTGTATTGCACTATTTATATTATTGTATTACTAAGGTACTTGCCACGACAACATAACGAATGACTTTCACGTTCGCGCTCGGAATCGCATTTTTTTAACTCTTCTCGAAAAACGCAGACATGCGAAAACTCTTCTCCGAACGAAAATGACTACTTCGACGAGCGAAAAACAAGAGAGCGTGCTGACGTACTCGTATCGCACGGGCGGGTGCCGCATCTTCGTCTGCTCCAACGCCATCGCGGCGGCGGAGTGCTGCGCCTTCTTGATGCTGGCGCCCTCTGCAGTGTACTCTTCGGCATCTCCCAGCTTCAGTTGCACCTGGAAGGTCTTCTTGTGCGCCGGTCCCTGCTCGTCGATCAGCTAGAGGGCGACACGGTAGCGAGGTCACGACGCAGGTCGCGGCATCCTTGGCTTTCTTCGCTTGCTGTATCTGCACGAGCCTACTGATCGGGTTGATGCCCGTACCGTACTCCGGATTCCCCTTCTCCACCTGCGAGAGACGGGGCGACGGCCGCCGCCAGGGGGCGCGCGTTAGCAGGGGCGACGACGATCGTGGGTACCGCCGCCAGGGGGCGCGCGTTAGCAGGGGCAACGACGATCGTGGTTACCACCGCCAGGGGGCGCACATTAGCAGGGGGCGACGACGATCGTGGGTACCACCGCCAGGGGGCGCACATTAGCAGGGGGCGACGATCGCAGGGACTGCCGCTAGGAAGCGCTTTAGCAGACGGCATGCGCTCACTTCAGGAGTTTACGCGGCGGCGGGCCGCGGCGACCAGAAGGGGGCGCTAGCGAACCGTGCGACCGCTGCGATCACTGCCAGGGGGCGCTTGCAGGACGACGGGCACTTCCTTTGAGTGTTGACTCAAAAGTGAGTGTGCTAGACACAAGCCTGCAGACACCAGCGAATACAATAAAGCTACTACAGAGAACGGGGGGAGGGGGAGGGGGGGAGTCAACATCAGACGAGTGTTTACGACGTTGTTAGTCCGAAACGAAACGACTTTAGCCTGGCGCACATTGCCAAACATTTTCCCGAACAAATGTTCGTCCGAACAAATGTTTTTGTCTGGCAATGTGCGGGTGAACAATTGCTCAGCGCACATTGCCGAACATTTTGCAGCGAACAACCTCGTGGCGCCGTCTAGTAGCCGTGTTGTAAAGAGTCACGTGATCGGCGTGTGGCCAATCGGCGTGATAGGCATTTACAAATGTTCCTAGAATTGTTCGACATTCAGCGCACATTGACGAACATTCGACGAACAATGTTCGAGATATCAAACATTTCCGATCTTCAGAAACATTGTTCGGAACAAATGTTCGGCGACTTTTTTCACCGCACACTGCCGAACATTTCATGGAACATTGCTACGATAATGTTTTTGAGCAAAATGTTCGGCAATGTGCGCCGGGCTTTTATTGCGCGACGACACTTCGCCACAGAAGTTACGAGGATTTAAACTTTTAACATCACGAAATTCGTGCGAGTTTATGTCATTTACGATATTATGATTATTATGATATTATTTCGGATATTTTACAATGTCATGAATATTCACGAGGTTTCCGGTGACGGGCTCAAGAGAGCTATGCGGCCACGGAGGTCTTACAAATTCCACAAGAAGCCAAAACGAAGGAAGCAAGGAAAGGAACCTCAGATTTAATCCATCCATTACAGAACAAACCCCACCCCCAATTCTTCCCCATCCAGCTCTTATCTCCCCCTCAACCTCCCTCCTCTATCATGGTTCGTACAGGAAGACTGAATTTTTTTTCAAGGACTTTTCAAGGACTTTTCAAGGACATTTTATCGGAAATTCAAGGACATTTTCATGAAATTCAAGGACTTTTCAAGCACAAAATCAACATTTACTAAATTCAAGTACTTTTCAAGGACTCCCCTCAAATTCAAGTACTTTTCAAGGACTCCCCTCAAATTCAAGGACTTTTCAAGGACTGTACGAACCATGTCTATCCGTCCCTCCTTCCTCTCTCCCTCCCTCCTCTATCCGTCCCTCCTCCCCCTGTCCCTCCCCTACCTTGATCAGGTTCTTGGACTTCTTCTTGCTCTGTGCGTTCTTGATGCGCGCCGGCCGCAGCATGGCGACGGAGAGGGGGGGAAGCCTCTTAAGCTCCTCCATCATCTTCTCCGCAGCGCGCTTCTTAGACACCTTCTTCCCGTTGCCTGATCAATAAACAATCAATAACCAATCAATAACGAGATCGATCAATAATGCGGGTGATCAGTAACCTGACCAAGCAATAATGTAAGTGACAAACGATCAATGATGCATCCGATCAATAAAAATAAAAATTACGAGAGATCAATATTGCAACTGATCAATAACATTCCTGATTGATCGATAAATGATGAATAAAGAGCTCCACCAATAATATGAGCAATCAAGAACATGACTGATATGAGATCAATAACGCCACTGATCAAAATGCCGACTGATTAATAACATGATTGATCAACTTATGGGGGAAGAATATGCAATCAAGCGAACAATGCGAAATAAACAATGCAATGCGCACCAACTGCCGATAAAATACGTAGACTGGTCCGCGCTCGACAGTTCCACTCGCGTTACACTGGAACTGTCGAGCGCGGCTACTCTCTCATCCGTCTCCTCCTCTCTATTTTCTCTCCGTCATCTTCCTCCTCTCTCTCTCCTCTCTCTCTCTCTCCTCTCCCTCTCCTCTCTTCTCTCTCTCTCCTCCCGCTCTCCTCTCTCCTCTCCCTCTCTCGCTCTGCTTATCTTCTCTCTCGTCTCTCTCTCTTCTGCGCTGTTGATCTCCGCTCTCCTCTCTCCCTCTCTTTCTCTCTCCTCTCTCCTCTCTCTCTTCCTCTCTCTCTCCTCTCTCCCTCTCTCTGTTCATCTCTCGCCTCTCTCTCTCTCTCTCCGCCTTTCTTCTCCTCTCTTTCTCTCTCTTCTCTCTCTCGCTTGCTCTCGCGTGCCCGGCGTTCCACCGTGTGGCCATGCTTTCTCTTACACATCCAGGGATGGCAGGTCAAACCAACACCACCACCACCAACAACAACAAGCTATGGCAAACACGCAAAGGAGACCCAAGCCGCCGGCCCAAATGTGCCTCGTGAACGAGCTGGCGCGTTTCAACAAGGTTCAACACCAGTACAAGGTAACTGCGCTCTCAGATACCCGCTACGTAAGTCGATCATCTTCGTCATTACCATAACTCCACTCAGTGGCGCCCGCAGATAGACGCACTGGAAGCACAGTGCTTCCAGTACAATTTGGTTAACAATTTGCCTACATTAGTCCTAAATCTCCTCGCAAGACCACCAAGAGTGCAACTCCAGACGTCTACCATTTAAAATTTTCCAGGGGGGCATGCCCCCAAGACCCCCCTACATCAGCGCGCCTACGCGTTGCTGTTTATTACACTGAGATTTATCCTTCTGGTGCTTCTACTCCGCAAGACCGGCCCAGGACTCACGCACGAATACTCCACCCTTATAAATCATCCTCATCAATACGCTAATCCTAACTCTATCCTTAACTCTTACCCTAAGTAACCTAATGCTAATCCTAACCCCCTAACTCTATCCCTAACCCCAACCCCAACTCCAAACCAACCCATCCCCATCTCTCGCTCATCCTGTCCCTCTCTTTGCTCTCTTTTTACCCCTCTCTCACGTACTCTCTCTCTCTCTCCGTCAGGCATGCATGCTCTTTCTCTCTGCCTCGCTCTCCCACCACACCTAAACGTAGCATCCTAAATGTTCGTATTCAAAATTAAAATCGAACATTCAAATCAAATCGGTTCACGCATCGTAGATAAACCCACCACATAATCACGCTGCCACGACCTGCGTCGTGACTCGCTACGGGTGTCGCCCTCCTAGCCGATCGACGAGCAGGGACGGCCGCACAAAAGACCGTCCAGTGCAAGCTGAAGGCGGGAAGAACCGAACGAGACACGCAGAAGGGCCGCCAGCACAAGAAAGCGGCAGCACTCCCGCCGCAGCGTATGCTGACAGACGAAGATGCGGCACCCCCCGTGCAACGAGTACGTCAGCACGCTCCTGTTTCGCTTCGTCAAGTAGTCATTTCGTCGGAAAGAGTTCGCATTTCTGCGTTTGAGAAAGTGTGACCACAACGGAAGTCATTCGTATGTCACGGACGCAATACCATATAATACAATGAAAATACATTACAATAATCAGGACATACAAATACAATACAACAAATACAGACAATACAATGCATCAAATACGATAGGAATCAACAAAAACAATACCAATAAGAAAACATAAACCAATCATAACCAAATAACATCAAAACAAAAGATACGATAATAATATCGACGCACGACCGTCGAGTGCGTGAACTCGCCTCACGGTGGCGCCGCTTGCGCCGCGTCAGCACCATCCTCTCTCTTGCAGAAGCCGCGTTCCGCGCGACAATACAATGAACGTCACTCCGACTGCCAGGATTTTGAAACGCTTCCGCGATCGCGAGGAGAACTCAGCCCTCTACAGGCAAATCGACCTCGCGCGCACCGCGCCTACAAAACGACCCAACCAGAACTTCCGGCGGGGCATATACAACCAGAGTAGAGCGCCCCACCCGCCCCTACACACGTACCGAACCTAGACTTCCGCGCATATACAACCAAGAGTTAGCGCCCTCATACCCGCCCTACAACGTACGCGAACACGCTAGACTCGTGGCATATACAACCAAGTAGGTAGCGCCCTCTACCCGCCTACCAACGTACCAACCTAGACTCCTGCGCATATACAACCAGAGGTAGGTAGCGCCACTCATACCCGCCCACAACGCACGTAACTAGACTCCGCGCCCATAGTACAACCAAGTAGGTAGCGCCCTCTTACCGCGCCCTACAACGCTACCGTAACCTAGACTTCCGCGGCAATATACAACCAGAGTAGTAGGCCCTCTACCCGCCCATACAACACCAGAACCTAGACCCGCGCATCTACAACCAGAGCTAGGTAGACGCCCTCTACCCGCCCGACAACGTACCCAACTAGACTCCTGGCATATACAAGCGGCAGAGGAGACGCCCCTCTACTCCGCCCACAACGTACCCAACCTAGACTGTCCGCGGCATAATACAACCACAAGGTAGCGTAGGCGACCCTCACCCGCCCTAGCAACTACCGAACCTAACTCGCCGCATATACAACCAGAGTAAGTAGTTCGCCTCTACCCGCCTCTACAACGTACCCAACCTCAAGACTCCGGCATATAGCACCAGAGGTAGGTAGCGCCCTCACGCGCCCTATCAACGACCGAAACTAGACTCCGTAAAGCAATATACAACCAGAGGTAGGTAGCGCCCAATCTACCCGAGCCGTAACACGTACCGAACTAGACTTCCGCGATATACAACCAAGTAGGTAGCGCCCACTACCCGGCCCACACCTACCGAACCGTAGACTACGCCGCATAATACAACGCAAGGTAGGTACGCCCTCTACCCGCCCATAAGCATCACGTACGGCGAACCTAGACTCCGCGCATATACAACCTAGAGGTAGTATCGCCTCTACCCGCCGCTACAACGACCGACCTAGACTCCCGCGCAATATACAACCCAAGAGTAGCGTAGCGCCCTCTACCGCCCTACAACGACCGAACCTAAACCTCGCGCATCATACACAAAGAGGTAGGATAGCGCCCCTACCCGCCCTACAACGACGAACCTACGACTTCGCGCGCAATATACACACCAGAGTAGTACTCGCCTCTACCCGCCCTACAAGCGTACCGAACTAGACCTTCCGCGGCCATAGACAACCAGAGATAGTATTCCGCTCCTCTACCCGCGCCATATACGTACCGAACCTAGACTTCCGCGGTCATATACAACCAGAGTAGGAGCGCCGCTCACCGCGCCCTATCAACAGTACCGAATCCATAGACCCCCGGCGGCATATACAACCAGAGGTAGTACGGCCCCTACGCCGCACCTACAAACGTACAGAACCTAACTTCCGCCGCATAATCAACCAGAGGTAGAGCGCCCTCTACCGCGCCCTACAACTATACCGAACCTAGACTTCCGCGCATATACAACCAGAGGGTAGTAGCGCACTCTACCCGCCCTCATAAGCCCGCTAGCAGTAGTTACCACTAAGATCGGTAAAGTGTTATACATTACGGGTGAGGGATACGGCAGAATTAGGGTCGGCTGTTTATTGTGCCTGCGCAATGTGCACTGTGCATAGCTGTTGCATCGGCCGTGCGTGCCGTGCGGCGGCGTGCGTGGCGTGCGTGAGCTGCGTGACGGCGTGCGTCGTGAAAGACTGGTGGTGTGTGTTGTGTGCATGTGTGGTCTGACGGTCTCTCGTGATGGTAGTGGCATGATGGCATTTGCGTGGCCCCCACCATACGTGGATGGAGAAACACGTGCGTGCCATAACACAGCATC